CCCTAATGGTTAGGGCCTAACCATTCCCCTGCCAGCCTGATCAAGGCCTAACCGCTTCCCTGATGGCTTGATTACACCTAACTGCCCTCCCTTGCAGGCTGGTCCCCCCAACTGCCCTCCCCTACTGGCCTAATGCCCACAACTGCCCTCCCCTGCTGGCCATCTTCTGGTGGCCATCTTGTGTCCACATGGGGGTCGCCATCTTGTGTGTTGGAGTGATGGTCAATTTGCATATTACCTCTTTATTATATAGGATTACCAATTTAGCTATTTAATTCAATAAATTATAAGATAAAAATTGGTCAGGCAGAAAAAACACACATTTTAACTATGTTAATGACAGTTATATATTCATTAACTGCATTTCAATAACATATTTTAATAAAAATACCAAGAAAGTACAAGAGTTAAATAATGTGTTGATTCTATTATATAAATAAGTAATCATAATTATGTTTGTTGTCTGTGGATTTTATTTTTCTCAGATTAAACAGTAAACAACAAATAATAAAAGAAATCTTTACTTCCAATCAGATTATTATTGATAGTTTATCTTTGAACATTGCACTATCTTTTGTCTTGTATTCACAAAACAGGACTGGGGACAGGATTACCCTAGTTTATGCTAAATCTCATGTTTGGTCTCCTTTCAATCAGTGGCTTAAATTTGGGGTTTGTAACCATGAGAAGCTATTATCCTGTCAGTATTATATAGTTTCAGATTGCCATGCTATATATTCATGACTCCAGAGGTCCCTTTTGAATGATCAGATCATCAGCATATGACACTTCATACACTGAGTAAACTAAAACTCATAGGGGAGTATTCATACACTTATTCATGCTTTTAAATTTAAAAATACGTATATATATTGAATTTATTGAGATGATATCCTATCTAATAAAAGAATAAAGTGCAAATTGACTATCATTACAACACACAAGATGTCTGCCCCCATGTGGACACAAGATGGCCACCAGAAGATAGCCAGGAGGGTAAGGCAGTTAGGGGTGACCGGGCCTGCAGAAGAGGGCAGTTGGGGGCAACCAGGCCTGCAGGGGAGGACAGTTAGGGGTGACCAGGCTGGCAGGGGAGGGCAGTTAGGGGTGACTCAACAGATGAGTGGATTAAAACACTGTGTTATATCTACACAATGGAATACTACTCAGCTATAAAAATGAAAGAACTCTTACCATTTACAACAGCATGGATGGAACTGGAGGGCGTTATGCTAAGTGAAATAAGCCAGTCAGAGAAACATAAATATCACATGATCTCACTCACTTGTGGAATATAATATAATGAACAATATAAACTGATGAACAAAAAAAGATCCAGAGACAGAGACGCATTGATCAGACCATCAAACATCTCAGGGAAGGTAGGGGAGGGTGGTGTTAAGGGGGAACAGATCAACAAAGGACTTGTGTGTGTGCATACAAACCTAACCAATGTACACAGATACCAAGGGGGTGATGGCATGAATGGGGGTAGGTGGGGGGCAATGGGGGGATAAGGACACATATGTAAATCTTAATAAATAAAATAAAATAAAAAAGAAAAGGAAGCCCAATCTGAATCAGCAGCAAAAGTTATTGCTCCCACAGAAGTAATGATGCTAATTAAATATGATCATAATAGTGATCTGGGTAGATATAATTATCTAGTGTAACAGAAGTTGCCATCATATTCATAAAGGAAGATAGAGAACCTGCTTTTGAAAGGGACCTGCTTGTTCATTGTAAACCAGTTCCCAATAATAGGGAAAATGAAACAAATTGAAACAAAATGAAACAAATCGGTATGCTGTTTCCTACATTAGATGCAATGATGGATCCTGTTCTTTTTCAACATGGTAAAAAAGGCTAGGGAATGGATATTGCATTAAGACTCATATATTGCATATATGGGTAATATGCTACGTGTCTGTTCGGGTAATGACATCATATAGCAATGCCTAGTTCCTTTCCTAGTGACTAGCCTTCTTTGAGTTTCTTCAGCCCAAGAATACAGGTGGAAACATTTCACACTTTAACCAAATGTCTATGAAGCATTTTCCCATGCCTCATCTCATTTGATCCTCACAGAAGTCCTGGAGTAGGTAGATAGGAGATTCGCTGGAATTTTCTTTTCTTTTCATTAGCCAGAAAACAGAGATTTAGAAAGCTTAGAAACTTGATCCCACTGAAAAGAAATAAGAAATGGTTCCTTGAAAATGATTTTAGGTTTTCTCACTGCACATAATATAGTCAAATACTATATTTTACCCTTTGTTCTCCTTGTGTGATCTACAGTAATAATGTGTTTTGTGTTGATATTTATGGCTGTGTTGCTGAAAGAGAAGTTGGGGTGCTTCACTGACCTGCAAAACGTTTAACTAAATCAGAAAGCAAGTCTAATTAAGCAAGTTTATTCTATACTAGAGGCCTGGTGCACAAAATTTGTGCATGGGGGGTGGTCCCTCAGCCTGACCTGAACCCTCTACAATCTGGGAGTTCTTGGGGGATGTCCAACTGGTAGTGGATGTCCGGGACCTCTAGCTCCTAATCACTCACCTGCCTGCCTGCCCTAACCACTACCTGCCTGCCTGATCCCCCTAACTGCCCTTCCCTGCTGGCTTGGTCGCCCCTATTAATTTTTTAAAAATCTTATCCTCTTCTCACACAATTGTATTTGACTTCCTTATTGGCTTCTCCCTCTCACACAATTTTTCTCTCTCCTTTATATAACACTTTTTTCCTACTGACTCATTTATAAGCTTTTCTTTCCTTCTTATTTCCTACTTTTCTTTCCTACTTATTTCCTTGTTCTGTCATCCTTCTTCCAATCTTTCTCCTACCTTCCCTCCCTCCCCACATTCCTTCTTTCCTTTATCTTTACCCTTGCCCTCCCCTTTTCTTTCCTGTCCATCTTGATTTTTTTTCTCCACTTCCTCCCTGGGACCTGCTTTGCACCCTTCCCCATTTCTTCTTTCTTCCCATTCTCCTGTTAAGCTCCCCTTTTAAACTTTTCTTCCCTCCCTCTTTTCCTCTCATCCACATCCTTCTCTACTTACTTCCACTGTTTTAATATCTATCTACCTGCCTAATTATTCACTATCATTTATCTTTTTTCTTTTCTGACTCCTACTTTTAAAATGTGTCCCCAGCACACAACTATACTTGATTTCCATCATAGCTCCTACAGTTCACTCACACATTCTCTTTCCTTCTTTGACTCTGCTCTACTGACTCCTTTATAAAGTTCTTCCCTCCCTCCTTCCCTTCTTAAAGCTTCTGTTGGGGGGGGGCGCGTTAATCCTCAGCCCAGGGATTAGCCCTGGCCAGGTGTCCACCACCCCTCTTTCCTGGCCTCCCTGCCACTGTCCTGCTCCCATTCCCTGCCTGGGACGCCCAGCCCAGTGAGAGTGGCCAAGGCCCGTGTAGCCTGGGCACTGCTGCTGTGAGTCAGGAGCATTTCCGCCCAGAAGCCCATGGGAGCATCCCTGCCAATGGCAGTTATTGCCTCTTCTCCCACGTCTGGGTGGGGCTCCCCTCTCAGAGCTGCCTGCGCTGGCCTCTCCCCTGGCGCACCTGTTCTGCCCTCTGTGGTTGCCACCCCCTTCTGCCTGCAGTTTCCTTCCTTTTTCAATTTCTGCATCTTTTTCTTGTTCCCTTTCTGTATTTCTGTTTCTCCTCTTGGCCTGTGTGCATGCAGGCCTGTCTTCCTCTCCCTCTCCTTTCTTATCCCCTCCTATCGTACCCTATCCTACCGCAGGCCTTCCAGCTTCCTGAGCAGAGGGCGGGGATGCAGCCTGCTGATCTGGTCATGACGTGATGCTGTAATGGACAAATTTGCAATTCCTCTATTATTATATTAGATCTATAAAAGGCTAAGTTGACTCTTGCATGCACAATCAATATAAAGCTCTCGCTGGTGCCAATCACACACGTGTGTTTCCATCTGTCATTGTCCATTGTAAATTTGGTTGACACTTCTATTATAGAGAAAAGGCAAATAGTGATATTAAAATATTTCTTCTAATTTCCTTTCAATGTGCAAGAATTCGTGCACCATATAACTAGTATTATTTACAATAATATATTCATCCAGGGGATCTTAATCATCTGTTTAAAACATTATATATAATACACACACATATTAATTTTCCTTTCATAGAATAATTTAAGTCCCAACATTTAACAGTTCTGACATTGAGTAGAAAATATATCATAACTAGCCTTAATTCTCAACCCTTTAGCAACTTTTTTTTCTTAACCTTTTCACAAGTTTCAGTTTTAATTGGCCTTAATATTATTGAGAAGATACCATACAGGAACATACGTAGAATTATACTGAGATTCAAATTGTTTAAATTCAATGTATATCTTATTTAAAATATAAAGATTTTAATTTGGTATATTCTAGGGTTAATATACCATAACAAACAATATTTTTGTGGTATCTTATTAGTGATTTGTTTTATTTAAAACAATAAAAGCTTTATTGCTGATACTTGTCTATTATGTCATCAGACCTTTCTTTGTATGTAGAGCTGTTACTGAAGTACAATGACTTTAAATAAATCCCCACAAATCTGTTTTAGAGGATATGAGTTACTAATAACATATTAGATAAAAAAGAGATATTCTTCTAGTATAAAAAGAAGCCACATGGCTCAAATTCTTTTTCTCTTATCCGTATCTTTCTGGTTTGCTGCCTTCTTTTTTTTTTAAGTTATTTCCTTTCCTCATTGATATGTGTTTTTAACTTGATTTTATTTGGAAACAAATGAGGGAAAGAAGTAGAGAGTGCTCCCATTGTAATTTGATTCAGGCCTTGCCTGTTCTCTACTGATAAATAACTCCACATCAACCATCCCTTATTTGAGCAATTCTGTCTTCTGATAACACTTCATTTTATTGTTTCTGAATACTTCTTCAATCTCCCAAGCTTCTTTTTGTTTCTGCAATGCAATTCTCTTTTTGGTGTCTTTTGTAAACTTAGTTTACCTGACAAGTGAGTTTTGGTATTTACCTGGCCTTGATTAGGTTGAGAACAATTCATAGCCGTATCAAAAGCATAGGCATAATTATGCTGAGGTTGCAATCCTGATGAATTCCTTTGTTCTCTGGCAAGTTAAATAAAAACACATAGTTAGTATAAAACACTTGTTTAATTTGTCACAAGTCACTTTTTAAAATGTACATCTTTATTGTTGAAAGTATTACAGATGTCCTCCCTTTGTCTTCCATTGACTCCCTCTAACCAGCTCCCACAATGCCCACCCCTAGGCCTTCACCACATTTTTTAGAATAATGTTTGACAATACAGAATGAGTTCTCCCATCTTAGACTCTGTTATTAAATGTACCTGAGACAAAGCAATGATAAAATCTACTATTTTTTAATGATTTCCATGCTCAAAGTGTTTTCCGTAATTTATCCCAATAATTTATTATGAAAATTTTCAAATATATAGCAAAATTAAGTTTTACAGTGAATACCCATGAATCTACCACCTCAATTTTATCGCCAATATTTTACTATACTTGTTTTAACATCATGTGTCCATCCATGCATCCCTGTATTCCTCCATTAATACATCTTAGTTTTTTGATGGAATTAAAAGAAAATTTTAAATATCAAATTATTTCATAAAAATTATATTATCTTATTTGAATATCTAGGAAAAAACCCTGCAAAATAGGAATTGCTAACTCCATTTTTTGTAGATGAAAAAACATGAGGCTGAAAAATTTTAAGGAAATTCCTCAAAGTGACACAGTCATTGATTTTTGGGCCAGAGACTTGAACCCCATTCTGCCTACATCCATTATCATATTTTTTTCACTATATTAAGGAATCTTCCAAAGTATATACAGAATCACTTTGTCAATTCATAATTGACAGAGGGGGAAAAAGGAGTTTAAACTAAATTATATTTTGACTAGAGGAAAATATAAATAAGGCAGTTTAATTTTCATCCCACAAGCCTATAAATAAGTCCAAACACTTATGAACACCACTATTATCCTGATTTATAATCGAGGCTTTTATTTTGCCTTTGCTTCTCAATGAAGTTTTCCATTAATTGTTTTATTTGATTCTCATGGCTATGAAGAAGTAGGAATGTATAAAGGAGGAATCAGGGGCTAAGCAACTCATTCAGTCATAGCCATTTAGTAGAAGATAGAAGATTAGGAAACAAATTCAATGTTTTAGAAAGCTTTTTAGTAGAAAAGCTGTGGAGAATCCTTAAAAGGTGACTTGTTCACAGGTATGATTTCTAATTATAATAATTCTTTAAAATCTCAGGAGTTTTCTAACTTAAGTCAAGGGATAATACGAAATTCTCCACATTAATTTCTTTATTTTTCATTAAATTTATTGGGGTGACATTGGTTAATACAATTATATAGGTTTCAGATGTACAATTCTACAATATATCAATTATCCTATTCACCACCTCAAGTCAAGTCTTCCATCACAATGCTGATTAGCATTGATTTTATGCATATATACTTATGAACCACATTGCATTTTAAAGAGTATGGGATGATGGTACAAACAAAGCTTAGGATTTTGAAATGGCAGCAATGTTGGCTAGCAAATATCTAAGACTGTTAAAAGTGGTGATTTTATTATACTTTGTAAGCCTATTCTTAGAAGTGTGAGACTTACATTACCAGCTACTTCCAATTTTAAAATAATATTTCAAACTCTCATACTGCATACAGTTTAACATTATCTTGTCACTGGATAATGATACTTCAAAGTAGATGCTAATTTGAATTAACTGGTCTAAAATTTATGAGATTTTACCCTACTGGTATTTAGCCTTCATATCTCTATGGTTCTCAGGCAGCACAAAATATAAAGGGTATTGCATGCTTTCAAGTAAAGAGACAAAGGGTATGCAACAGGGCTATGCAACTTTCAAAGCAATGTTTTGTCTTATGAGATTCCATTCCTATAGCATGGAGTTAAGGGTTTAGGCTTGGAACCAGATTGTCTGGGTACATACTTAGCCCTATAACTTCAGCCAAGTTATTTGATCTGTGCTTTGGTAATATAATCTTTATTTTATAGGATGCTGGTGATGATTAAATGAATTAATAGGTATAAAAGATTTATAATTCAACCTATATATACAAGTAAATGATTTTTGCTTTCAGTATCATTCTCATCATCTCTGTAAGGTGGGTATGCCAGATTATAACAATCTCTATTCTATAGATGAGAAAACAGGAGCTGAGTCATATTACAGTCAAGTCCATTGGATACTTCTTTGCATTTCTCTGACATTGTTGCTGGAGGGTGTGATGAATAAGAGGTACAGCAACTCCTCCCCCGCTAGGACAGTATGTGTGGTACACACAAATAGAAGGAAGACACTGTAGCAGGATAATTCTTTAGTTAATTACAATTGGGTTTTTATCAGTTTTTTATGTACCCATATTATGACCAAAGTGATTTTGGTTATCTGGACCTTTTTGTTTGAACATAATTAAATGTTGATGAATATGAAAGAATATACCAGGAGCATGTGTGATAAATAATATCCATTATTTCTTTATTCGTTTGCTGATCTCACAAGAGATTTCCCATTATTCTAGGAGGTATTTTGAAATTTCTTACCCGTCATCATTTATATTCTTCTTTGACTTCTTTTTACAGTAGTGAACAGTCTGGATTGTTACACCAACTATTAAAGCCAGTCCTATTCCAGGCAATGTTGCTACTAAAATCAAGTCCAGAGTACTCCAGAGTTGGTCACATTTGGCTCCCATATACCAATAATCTCCCCATTGACCCTTGAAATATGGACATCTAGATAGAGATAATAGAAATAGAAAAAGCTCACAAATCAGAAAAATAATTTCTCCCCTGAATGAATCAAACATTTCATTGTTACTAAACCACAAGGTTTTCCTTTAAGGACCTTAAGAAATTTATGTTGTCCCATTTTCCACTTGAGCAAACACTCTAAAACATACAGGTTTGAACTCATTTAATAAACATGCAGAATGCTGTCAGGATTTCCCAGCCATTAGCTAATGTAGATGTGGCATGTAGCTAGAAATGGAAAAACAACAACAACAACAAAAAAAACAACAACAAAGCCTCACCAAGAATGGCTGTTTCAAGACTGCTTTTAAAACTATCCACATTTTGTCCACTGCTCACATCTCACTTTACCTTAGCTACTTTAGTTCTGTGAGTGTTATGAAAAAAGTTTGAATCAGACTAATCTACCAGTTTTGCAACTGCAGGTTCTAATTTCCCTCCACCCACCCTTATAGTAATGAATTATGGTTAGCAAACTGCCTCTACCACTCTACAGCAAATACAAGAAGTAACATGAGAAGGTGAGACTAGATTGTCTGCCAGCAATATCTACCCCCATCATTCCCATGACTCCATATTTTCCTCCTCTATTTTATAAAAATAAATGACTCATATAGAAATGTTTAGTGTTTTTATAAAGCCCTGATACTCTGCCAAATAACCTGAATGTAGTTCTCCAGTGCAAAGACTGAACTGGCATGGCATACACCCACATATACATGTCTATGGGTTTGTGAAGAGGAATAATATGACTTCTCTTCTTCTCCATGGGAGTGGCTAATGGTGAAGTTAGTTCTTGTACTATCTTTAGAAATTGCTTCATTGTTTTCTATGGAACTGGTAATGGATTACCCAATTGAAAGGCAATTGTCAGATCCTAAATAAGCTTCTCTTGGTTTGTATCATTCCAACATATTGAGGAGTACTGTCATGGATGGCATGAAGGGATTGATTAGACAATTATCATAATATTTTATAGCTCTGATAGTCTAGGATTCTATAAGAAAATAAACATACCAGCTTCAAATAGATAATAATCTACTCAGTAAGTAATGGCATCTAATATGTAACACAATGTCATTCATTTAAGGAGATCAAAAATATTTTTAAAATATTTTATCAATCCTCATGGATTTGTTCTTAAGGGGAAAAAACCTTTCACAAGAATATATTTCTTGTTTAGATTAGAAATAAATCACAAATGAATTGTCTATTAAGTAATAACACTCATTCATTTATTCAACAACATTTAGTGTATACCTATTGAATACTATGTGCCAATCACTGTTCCAGGCATTTGAGATAGACCAGTGAACAAAGATCCATGTCCTAAAGTAGCTTAAATTGTAGCAGAGAAAGACAGACAGCAGAAATAGGCATCATGCTGAATCTGGTTTGGCTCAGTGGATAGAACATCAGCCTGTGGATTGAAAAGTCCCTGGTTCAATTCTGGCCAAGGGCATGTACTTTGGTTGCGGGCACATCTCCAGTAGGGGGTATGCAAGAGGCAGCTGATCAATAATTCTCTCTCATCAATGTTTCTAACTCTCTATACCTCTCTTCCTCTCTGTAAAAAATCAACAAAATATATATTTTAAAAAATAGGCATCATTACTAAATTATCTAAGATGTTTAAAGGTGACAAGTGCTAAGAAAAAAAGAAAAGGAGCAGGATAAGGGGATCGGCAATGTTTTGGGGGGCAGTTATTAGGACAGGTTGCATTGATATAATAGGTTGCATTGAGAAGTAACATTTGAAGGAACTCTGAGACTAAAACAAGAGGGTGTGTGCCTGAATGTTGATGAACCCAAGGAAAACAGTGCTGTTAGAGCACAGTGAGTTAATCGAATATGATAGAAGATAAGACTAATAAGGAAGGAAACAGATCACAAAATACCTTACAGGTCATATAAGGACTTTGATTTTTACAATAATAAAATGAGAAACATTTACAGGTTTTTGAGAAGTGATATGATATAGGTTGTTTTGAAAGGATCAGACTGTTTTTTACTGTACTGAAAACAGATTGTACGGGGACAAAGGTAGAAGCAGGGAGAGAGGTCACAAAGCTGTTCAGTAATATAGGCAAGAGGTAAATAGAATAGTTTAAACTAGAATGATAACAGTGTTGGTGAGGTAAGAAAAAAAAAATGCCAATGTCTATTTTTAAGGCAAAACCAAGAGTATTTCCTGATAGACAAGAATTGAAGTGTGTAAGAAAAAAGAGGACTGATTATGACTTTTAAATTTTTGGCCTAAAGAAATGAAAGAATGGAGTTGTTATCAACTGAGATGGAAAAGACTATAGAAAGAGCATGTTTGGAGTGGTGGTGATGGGAGTTGCACAGTTTAGTTTTGTACTTGCTGATTTTGAAATAGGTATTAGATATTGAAATGGAGATGTTGAGTAAGCAGTTATATCTCTGAGTCAGGAGTAATAAGTTTTCCCAGTTTGAATGGTATTTAAAGACATAAAATTATGTAAGTGAGGGACCAGATAAGAAACTAGCAAAGGTAATCAATAAGTGGACAGTGAGGCAGAAGGAAGAAGTAAAAACAGGAGAGAGGGATATCCTAGAAGTCAAGAGAAAACTCAAAGAGGGGTAGTGATCAACTCTGTTAAATGTTGCTGATGTGTAAACTAAGATAAAGGTTGAAAACGGACTATTGGGCTTGACATCATAGAGACTAGGGAGAAGGAATTTTAAATATTTTATCTTATTTAATTATCTTAGTATTCTTGGGGGGTATATAAATGTTTTTCTTCCTATCATCAATCCTATCTAATAAAAGAGTAATATGCAAATTGACTGTCACTCAACAAACAAGATGACTGCCCCATGTGGACACAAGATTGCCACCACAAGATGGCCAGCAGGAGAGGGAAGTTGTGGGTGACCAGGCCAGCAGAGGGGGGAAGTTTGGGGTGACTAGGCCTGCAGGGGAGGACAGTTGGGGGGGACCCAGGCCTGCAGGGAAGGGCAGTTGGGGGGACCAGGCATGCAAGGAAGGGCAGTTGGAAGGACCAGGCATGCAAGGGAGGGCATTTGTGGGTGGTCAGGCCAGTAGGGTAGTGCAGTTAAGGGTGACAAGGCTGGCAGAGGAGGGCAGTTGGGGAAGACCAGACTGGCAGGGGAGGGACGTTAAGGGCAATTGGGCCAACAGGGGAGCAGTTAGGCATCGATCAGGCTGGCAAGGGAATGGTCGGGGGTAATCAGGCTGGCAGGCAGGCAGGCAAGCAGTTGGGAACCAACAATCCTGGATTGTGAGAGGGCTGTCACACACCTCTTAAGGGATCCCAGATAGGAGAGGGTTCAGGCTGAGTTGAGGGACACACCCCACCCCATACACACATTTCATGCATCAGGCCTCTAGTAGGAAATAAAACCTTTAAATATGAATACATTTGAAATGTAATTTATATATTTTTCAATAACTAGTAAGTATGTGAGAAATGTGAACATTGATTATTTTCCAAATAAAAATAGATTTCTAGAAGAAACAAAGTATGGAGGTTGTCAGAGGCTGGGGGGAGGAGCAAATGAATTGTTTTTTAATATTGTAACATTTCTGTTAAACATGATGAGTAAGTTCTAGAGATTAGTTGTACAATATAGTACCTACAATTAACAATACATAATTGTGTACTTTAAAATATGTTAGGCAAATAGACCTCATGTTAAGTGTTCTTATCTTTAAAATGGGGGAAGAAAGGAAGAAAAGAAAGAAAAAGTTACAACAAACAAGCACACGTAATGAATATGTTTAGTGCCTTGGCTGTGGTGATTCTATCACTGGTGTATGCGTATGTCCAAAGTCATCAAGATTATTACATTAAGTGAATGCATTTTTTGTGTACTAATTATACCTCAATAAAAAAAAAATGAATCCTGTTTAGATATATTTCAGTACTGTGTCTCAATTTGAAGACAGTAATGGAGGTAGCAGATGAGAGTTAGTTGAATTTTTAAAAATCTAAACTATTTAATTTGTATTCTATTTGTAACAATGTAAAATATAGTCCTTAAAAGCTATTGAAATATTTTAAGAAAAAATAAAAAAATTAAATTTAAAAAATTATATATCAGGCATGTGGTCTTAATTTGGCTAATTTTATTAAACATTTTAATTTGATTTTTTAATTTTTTATATGAATTAAACATTTGGAACATGTGTGTGTGAGAGAGAAATTTGCCTGTATGGATGTGGGTGGTAGTGGTATGTGTGTCCTTAAATAGTTTTAGCAATGCCATTAAATTTATTAAATAATTTTATAATTATTGTTATATAGTTTCATGTGTTTAGTTCTGATTTGTAGTACATAATTCACAATGTCAAAATACCTGGCCCAAACTGTGTGGTGTGGTGCTAAATATATTTTGTAATAAAATCATCCCTTGCCATCAGATAGACATTCAAAGAATGTACCATAGGTCAATATACATAATTGGTACAAGTCAATTATATATATATAATGTACAGGTCAATTATGTTCCATACTGAAATTCATCAGTAAAATAACTTGAAGTAACTTATTTGAATCAACTTAGCGGAGAAAATTTTCAAAACATGCATAGTGTTAATGTGACAGGACAATTAACATTTGTAAAATTTATAAAACAAATGAGAAATAATTATAATAAGGGTTAGAAAAATAAAACATAATGTTGATTAGTTGCTTTCAATATTGGAATAATATTCTCAAAGGTTATCACCAACAACCCATAAATGCTAAATCTAATGGCTTTTTATCATTTTCATCTTCTTCAATATTCTTCCAATATTTTGCACTATTGAGCAACCACTCCCATTGAAAGATTCATTCAACAAATCATTGCAGAATATCTTCTATATGACAGATATTGTGCTAGGTACTGAAGATAAATAAGACTAAATTCTGGTTTTTGTAGTGCTGTAAAAAAGAAAACATATACCCTATACTCAAAGAAGTTGCAGTAGAATGGGTTAAGTGCTACCTTAGCAGTATGATGGAGCTTAGTCTTGAAGGTTAAGTAGGAATGTATCATGAGAAGTTGAGTTATGGTGAGAGGAGGAAAAAGGGAAGGAAGGGTAACAGAGAGGTTATATGAACGGGCAAAGGTGAGAGAGGAAATAATGCACTTGAGGAACTGAAAATTCTGTTGTTCAGTATGTCAAGAGCATGATATGAAAACTATTTGCATTTTCACAAACACAAAATTCTCTCAAACCTCATTGTCTTTGCCTACATTGGTCCCTTTGCCTAAATGTGATTTTCTTACTATCAGTTTCCAAAATTCAGTTTAAGAGGCATGGGCCCTGGAAAACCTTTCTTTCTTATACACACTCTTTCTTATTCTTGAATTACAAAATTTTATTGATACACAACAAGTTAGGATTATTGTCGTTGCATAACATGAGACACACCTTGATTTTTCTTCTTCAAAACAGTAAAACAATTTAGTTATGAATGTATAATTTATCTGTAAAAAGTCTGTCTGACAAAAGCAGTTTTAAATAGTGTCAATCCCTTAAAGTTAATATAAATTCTATCAACCAATATCTTAAATTGTATATATTGTTTATAAAGCAGTAGATTAAAATATTTTAGGAACTCAACAACAACTGTGTTATATGTGTAGGAGCCATTTCTGATTAAAATATTATTTTTAAACAAATATTGCATTTATGGTTTATAGAAAACAAATACAAAGTAAATTATTACTCACAATATCTTGTGCTCACTCTGCTTTTACAGCATGTATAACCACTTACTTGCAAAAAGGCTTTCCATCTTTGCATGCGCAAACAATATTCTTTGGACAGAAATCTCTTATATTCCCAGGACAATCATAAAAGTCAGTCACAGATGTACAATTGGCTGCAAATAACATTTAAACATTTCTCAGCAAATATAGAACAAATATTTCAAATTTGGCTAATACACATGTGAAAAATTTTGCATGTTAGAAAACTGTTTTTGTTTTGTTTTGTTAAAGAGTTTTAAACTATAAAAAAAAATAGCTATGTGGTACAATACTTTGAGAATGTTTAAATGGAGTTTCAAGTACCAGTCTCAGAAAATCAAGATGAACAACAGACATGATCTCACTTACTATTTGAACTGATAGATTTCAAAGCATGGCATTTAAAAAAAAGTAAATATACAGTATTATAGCCAAAAGGACATTTAAAATTTGAAATAAAGTTATTTTGGACAAAATGTGCATATCATCTTTGGCTAAGGGAAGATAAAATTATCTATCCAAAGACAGAGTCAACATAACCCTAGTTTGCTAGGACAGTTCTAGTTTATGCATGTTTTCTAGATTAATTATTAATACTTCTCTACTCTCAAAATTCCCTGGTTGACACAAATTAGTCACCCTACTAGTAGGCAACTGGGAGTAGTACAGATCTTAGCCTCAACCATTAATGATATTTTGATATTAATAAGGCTATCATGGAGAGTCATTCTGCTAATTATTTGGGTGAAGTATCCCTCCCAGCATTGTGGACTAAGCAAAGGTTTTCTAGAGTTGGAAAATTAGTGAGTAGAAAAATTTATTAAGAGTTACAGGACCTATTAACATTCACAGAAACTATAAGTTCAAGTAAGGGAGAAATATTTTGACCCTCTGTCAGCTTAAACACAGAAAAGATTCTATAGATGAGATTTAATACTGCCTGAATCCCAGGACTCTGAGTATATGTTTGGAGTTAGAGGTGGCTGGCAAGAAGAGAAAAGATCTATAGAATCCAAAGCAAAATTGCACTTTGGATAACATTTATTTGCTAAAGTAAAACATGACACACTGATTTTGCTACATAATACATATGTGAGGGGAAAAAATAAAAGGGTCATATTAGAAAGCATAATAGCAATATTAAATGAAAACACAATACAGTACTTTAAAATAATTTCAATAACTCTATCCTTTAAATATGGAAAGAACTTTAGTTGACCATAATGGTCCACTGACCATCTAACTACCCAACCTTGCAAAAAGCTCTCACCAAAATTATTGGATCTAATAGTGATGCTTGGAGAAATTTTAATCACATCTGTTTTCAACAGGCAGTATTTAGAAAAAGAATTGTTCTTCTTGGCTTGGCAAATATTTTAGGACATGTGATTTGAACATATTGCAAAGTGAAAATTTCTGATAAATTAAATATAACCTGTATATGTTATAGAAACAAAGTGCTCTTAAATATAGTCTAAAACCATGGTCCGCAAACTGTGGCTCCCAAGCCACATGTGGCTCTTTGGCCCCTTGAATATGGCTCTTCGACAAAATACCACTGCCTGGGAGAGCCTATTTTGAAGAAGTGGTGTTAGAAGAAGTTTAAGTTTAAAAAATTTGGCTCTCAAAAGAAATTTCAATCGTACTGTTGATATTTGGCTCTGTTGACTAATGAATTTGCTGACCACTGGTCTAAAACAATCACAAATATTCACACAAATAAAAATTTTAGTTGGTAGTTCACAGAATTTTTTATATTTATCTCAGAGATCAGAGACAGACACGATAGCTTTAAGAGAAAACAATTATTTTTCACATAAAAATAAACACCTTTAAAAAATAAGATACTTTCAGGTTTATGAATGTTTAGAAAAAAAGCCTTTGCTTGGATTATTGTCTAGTCCCTTAGGCTACCTCCCATGTCCTTGATTCCCCCTCTAATTAAAATCTAATTATTTACATATTCACCCTATAGAAATAAAACAAATTAAAAATTTCTTACGTTGTTCACAATGTACTGTCAGAAAACAGCAGTAGATGAACAGAATTTTAGTCCATATAAACATGTAATCCATCGTAGTGGAAGCAAGACCGAAACACAGACAGTCCGAACAAGTGCAATTACAAGAAGTAATCATCCAACAGAGATTGTAGGTGGTTTATATCAGAGATAAGTGACCATGGATTTTGAACTTTTTCTTTCCAGACTATATAAGTTACTGGTTAACTTTTTTATTGTACACTTGATCATAGATTTGATTCCTCAAATCTATAGTTCCTATATATAGACCATATATAACTTACTTGTATACTGCTTAAGTTTAGTCCCAGCTATTTGTTTTTTTTTAAGAACTACTAGAAGCCCACTGCACAAAATTTGTGCAAGGGATGGGGGGGATGAGTCCCTCAGCCCAGCATGCACCCTCTCCAATCTGAGACTCCTTGAGGGATGTCTGACTGCCCATTTAGGCCCGATCCCACCGGGCCTAAATGGGCATTTGAACAGAACATCTCTCTCACAATCCAGGACTGCTGGCTCCTAACTGCTTGCCTGCCTGCCTTCCTGGTTACCTCTAACTGCTTCTGCCTGCCAGCCTGATCACCCCCTAAGTACTCCCCTGCCAGCCTGATTGATGCCTAACTGCTCCCCTGCCAACCTGATCACCCTAACTGCCCTCCTCTGCCAGGCTGGTCACCTCTAATTGAGGGCAGTCACTCCCAACTGCCCTCCCCTGCTTGCCTGGTAACCCCCAAATGCCCTCCCCTGCAGATCTGGTCTCCCCTAACTGCTCTCCCATGCAGGCCTGGTCCCTCCCAACTGCCCTCCCTTGCTGGTCTAATTGCCCACAACTGCCCTCTCCTGCAGGCCATCTTGTGACGGCCATCTTGAGTCCACATGGGAGCAGCCATCTTTGATCACAGACATCTTTGATCATCATGTGTGTTAGAGTGATGGTCAATTTGCATATTATTCTTTTATTAGATAGGATTTGTTAGTCATTGTACTAGGTTTCATAATTTGTGAAAAACCCACACCTTATGCTATGAGTGCAGTTTTCAATCCAGTTCAAAATCAGAGAGTTCCACACTGTCTCAAAGGGTAAGATTTTCTTATTTTCCTTATTTTTTATGGCCAGATAGTATCCATTGTGTAAATGTATCAGTTTTTTATCCTCTCATCTTCTGCTTGAACATTGAGCTGCTTCTAAATCTTGGCTATCTATATATATAAAACCCCAATATGTATATAGATCAAATGGCAGAACAACCGAACAACTGGTTGCTATCACATGCTCTGACCACCAGGGGGCATTGGCAGCAGGTGGCAGTGAGGAACAAGGTGGGCATTGGCTGTGGTGGAAAGGTGGAGCAGGTGAGCGGGGACACCAGACCAAGGTGGGGCATCGGTCACTGTCATCAGGACAAGCCTCTGGTGGTTACTGAAAATTCTTTGTTCCTGCACACTGCTGTCCTGCCTCACCTGCTGTTGGTGTCTAGTACTGTCCTAAATGCTCAGTGCCATCAGCAGGTGTGAGCAGTATCTGCCACCCCCAATTATCCCTGAGGGCTTCTCCACCTCCCCCTGCTACTAAGGGGTAATTGGGGCAGCAGCCACTGCTCACACCTGCTGAAGACACCAGGCCCACTCACACCCATTGCTGGTATCATCCTCAATCACTCCATGCCATCAGTAGGTGAGAGTGGGGCCAGCACCATCAGTACATGGGAACAATGGCTGTGAGATTGGGGCTGTCGGCAAACAGGGGACCAGGAGCTGTGGCAGGAGGAGCTGGGCTGGGGTGTGGATGATGGGCTGAGACCTGCCCCTGTGCCCACTGCAGCCTCATGGCCCACAGTTCCTTCAAGGTGCATGAATTCATGCACTGGGCCCCTAATTATAAATAATGCTGTAATGAACATAAGGATGCTTATAGTCTTTGGATTTTTTGTTTGTTTGTTTCTTATGTATATTCCCAGAAATAGAATTGCTAGGTCATAAATTAGTTCCATTTTTTATTTTTTGAGGAAACTTTATACTGTTTTCCACAGTTGCTGTAGAAATCTGCATTCCCACCAATAGTACATGATGGTTTCCTTTTCTGGACCAAGAGAGCATTTTTTCTAAGTAAAATGAGTCAGTCAGAGAAAAACAAGTACCATATGATTTCACTTATATGTTAAATCTAATGAACAAAAAGAACTAACAAACCAAATAGAGACACATTTATAGGTAGAGAGAAATCACCCACCATTGTCAATGAGTATAGGGATTGAGCATAAAAGAAAAAATAGAGAGAAAAAAAAACTACACATAGACAGCAGTGTGGTAATTTCTGGAGGGTGGGGTATGATGGAGGTGGAAAAGGATATAAGAGAGAAACATGGTGATGAAAAGAGACTTAACTTGGGAAGGTGGACACATAATACAGTGTACAGATGATGTGTTGTAGAGTTGTGCAACTGAATCCTGTATAATTTTGTTAACCAGTGTCACCCCAATAAATGCAATTAAAACAACACACAAAGTGGCTCAAATATAATTTGCTGACACACACAAAAATAACTTCCATAAGTGTATCCAAAAAATAATCAGAGATCTCTGACCTTATAGCCATCAAGACTGCTAAGCAATAATTTGAAGATATCATTGGTAAAGAGAAGAGATGAAGAAATAGTTAGGAAAAAAAAAAGAAGTGGAAAAAGTCAGAAAGAGAAACAGAAGTAAGGAGAGCTGCCAGGAAGAAAAATAAAGAGTAGATGGGGCCTGGCCAGTGTTGCTCAGTGGTGACCCATGAACTAAGAGGTAGCCAGTTCTATGCCTGGGTTGTGGGCTCAATGCCCATGGGGGGTGTGCAAGAGGCAGATGATAGATGTTTCTCTCTCATCAATGCTTCTATCTCTCTATCCCTTTCCCTTCTTCTCTATCTAAAATCAATAAAAATATATGTTTAAAAAATAGTAGTAGATGGGGAAGGAAGTATTAGGCAGTGCAATAGATACAGATGTAATCCAGCTGGGACACCGGACTTTCATTAGGATTCTTCTTTATATTAATTCATATTTACCTCTCACCTTCTCTTCTTTTTAAAAAAATTATCTTTATAGTTGAAATTATCACAGATGTTCATTTTTATCCCCCTTGACCCTTTCTAGCCCACATCTAGCCCCTGCCCCAGACATTCACCACACTATTGTCTGTGTCCATGGGTTATGCTTATATGCATACAAATTCTTTGGTTAATCTCTTTCCACCCATCCAGCCAATCCTTTTATCTATGATTCATTAGACTGTTCCATGCTTCTATATCTATGAATTTATTTTGTTCATCAGTTTATTTAGTTCTTTAGATTCCACATATGAATGAGATCATGTGATATTTGAATTTCTCTGGCTTCTCCAAGTGCCTCCATACATTTACACCATGGAATATAATGCAGCATTAAAAAAGAAGGCTCACCCTTCTCTTCTTAAGTCCACATTTGTCAGGATGTCAGTTAACATATTGCTAGTATTACCTACCATATATATTTCCATCAGGTCATTTTTATAAATGGTAAAGTTTGTACCCGTTGTGTAACTCAGAATCTACTATTTCTTCTACCTACTGAAAACTTTATTTTATGTACAGTTTCCTGCTTATAACTTATCCATCATTGTACTTTATTCTCCACTCCTTATTTTTGACATCCAAATAAAATGGCAGTATCATGAGAGCTCCAGGTTGAACCTTCATGCCTTCTGCTAATATAGATAATTTTTAATCTACATGGCCTATGTTGACCCAGTATGATTTATATGCTTCCAATTGTTTTCTCATTTAAAAACAATATCCTTGCTTCACAATACTTATAGCAGTAAAAATATGTTCTTAATTTAATTAGTGCAATAGTATGAGAATATATATATATATATATATATATATATATATATATATATATTTGTTGTTTAAAAGAATGTATAAAATTAGCAATTTGTTAAATTTTTAATGTATAAAACTTATTTCAACAATTAAGTAAAAAAAGTTATATGGTTTTACTTTGACATTCTAGGTCTGATTAAAGTATTTTAAAAATTCTTTATTGCCTAAAGTATTACATATTAATTATTTTTTCTCCATTGACCTCTCCCCACGCCTTCTCACTTCCAGCACCTGCCCTCACCCCCCCTACTGAATGTGTCCATAAAAATCTTAGAATAATCATAGGAAGCACAATATCAGACATATGTCATAGCAATATTTTTACTGATACAGCTTCTAGGACAAAAGAAACTAAGGAGAAAATAAACCAGTGAACTACATCAAAATAAAAAGCTTCTGTATAACAAAAGAAACAATCAACAAAAAACAAATCAACTGCATGGTAGAACATATTAGCTAATGTTATCTCAGATAAGGATTTAATCTCCAACATTTATGGGGCACTCATTTAACTTAACAAAAAGAAGATAAACAATCGAATCAAAAAATGGACAATGGACCTATGGGTCTAGTAATAATTAATGTCGTTTTTAAACATTCCTTTAAAATCTTGCTTGGCGTTGACTTGTATTGACATAACCTTCAAACACGTGGTATCTACAGAACGTGTGAAGTGCAATTAACAAGTTTTGCTTGAAAAAGTTTATGTTTGGTTTGGTTTTTGTTGCAAAACTAGGGCCAAGAAGATGGCGGATGAAGAGCATATTCGGCACTGCATGCTTTACGAGTTCCAATTAGGAAGAAAAGCAAGTGAGGCTGCAAAAAATATCTGTAGTGCTCTTGGTCAAGATGCAGTTAGCGCCAGAAAATGCCAGCGTTGGTTTGAGAAATTTCGCAAGGGAAATTTTTTGTTAGATGACAAGAGTGGTCGAGGCCGTGTGTCCAATTTTGATCAAGAAGCTCTTCAAGCTCTTTTGGTGCAAAATCCTCAAATTACCCAACAAGAGCTTGGGACAACTTTAAATTGTTCACAAAAAACAATTTCCAATCAATTGCGTGCACTTGGCAAAGTCCAAAAGTTTGGAAAATGGGTTCCTCATGAGTTGACCGACAACAACCGTAATCAAAGAGTCACAATTTGCAGTTCGCTCCTCTCTCGTCAAAACCGTTTGTCGTTTTTAGAGCAAATTGTTACCAGAGATGAAGAATGGGTGCTGTATGTTAATTTGAAAAGGCGGCCTCAATGGTTGGACAAAAATGAGGCTCCGCAGCCCACGCCAAAACCTGACTTGCATGCGAAAAAAGTGATGTTGTGTGTTTGGTGGAATTTTAAAGGAATTCTTCATTATGAACTTTTACCATCTAACCAAACCATTACAAGTGCAGTGTATAGTGCCCAATTGGAAAGGTTAGCCCAAGCTTTAAGAGAAAAAGAACCCGCGCTGATTAATCGGAAGGGCGTAATTCTTCACCACGATAACGCACGACCGCATACTGCAAGAATCACTGCTGAAAAACTGCGCCAGTTGGAATGGGAAGTTCTCCCTCAACCTGCATATTCTCCTGATATTGCCCCTTCTGATTACCATTTGTTTCGTTCTTTGCAAAACTTTCTTCTTGGAAAAAAATTTAATAATGAAGAATGCCTCAAAAATGCATTGACCGAATTTTTTGCATCAAAATCACAAGAATTTTACAACAGAGGGATTAAAATGCTTCCTGAGCATTGGACACAAGTAGTAGAAAACAACAGCAACTATATTGTTGATTAAATTTTGTTGTATTGTTTAAATAAATTCGATTTAAAAAAAGGTATTATAAAACGACATTAATTATTACTAGACCTAATAAATAGATACTTTTCGAAAGAGGTCATACAGAAGGCCAAGAGACATATGAAAACATGCTCAGTCACTAATCATTTGAGAGAGTCAAATCAAAATGACAATGAGGTACCATCTCACACCTGCTAGAATGGCTATCATCAACAAATCAACAACAAGTCAACAAGTGCTGGCGAGGATGTGGAGCAAAGGGATTCTAGTGCACTGCTGGTGGAAATACAGACTAGTGCAGCCACTGTGGAAAACTATATGGAGTTCTCTGTTCCGTTCCATTGGTCTAAAATGTATGTTCTTGTGTCAGTACCAAGCAATTTTGAGAACAGTGGCTTTGTAGTATAGCTTGATATCTGGTATTGAAATCCCTCCTACTTTATTCTTCTTTCTCAAGATTGCTGCAGCTATTTGGGGTCTTTATTATTATTCCAGATGAATTTTTGGAGAGTTTGTTCTAGGACTGTGAAATATGCTGTTGATATTTTAATTGGGATTGCATTGAATATATAGATTGTTTTGGGTAGTATGGACATTTTAATGATGTTGATTCTACCAATCTATGAACACAGTATATGTTTTCATTTGTTTGTCTTCCTCTAACTCTTTTTTCAATGCCCTATAGTTTTCTGAGTACAGGTCTTTTACATCATTAGTAAGTTTATTCCTAGGTATTTTTAATTTTTTTGCTGCATGGTAAATGGGATTTTTTTTTTAATTTCTCTTTCCATGACTTCATTATTGGTTTATAAAAAAATAGATTTTTGCGTCTTAATTTTGTGTCCTGCTGCATTGCCAACTTCACTTAAGTCTAATAGTGGTTTTTTTTTGTGTTTTTTTTATGGAGTCTTTAGGGTTTCCTATGAAAAATATGTCATCTGTGAGTAATGACTCTTTTACTACTTCTTTTCCAAGTTGGATGTCTTTTATTTATTCTTCTTGTCTAATTGCTATGGCTAGCACTTCCAGTACTGTGTTGAACAGGAGTGGTGAGAGTGGGAATCCCTGTCTTGTTCCTGTTCTTACTGGAAATGATTTTAGTTTATGCCCACTGACTATGATGTTGGCTGTAGCTTTGTCATATAAAGTTTTTATTATGTTGAGGCATATTCCCTCTATTCCCATGTTGTGAGGGTTTTTATCAAGAAAGGGTGTTGGATTTTGTCCAATGCTTTTTCTGCATCAGTTGATATGATTATGTGAGATTTGTCTCTCAGTTTGTTTATGTGATGTATCACATTTATTGATTTGTGGATATTGTACCATCCTTGCATTCCTAAAACAAATCTAACTTAGTCGTGGTGTATGATCCTTCTAATGCAGTGGTTCTCAACCTTCCTAATGCTATAACCCTTTAATACAGTTCCTTATGCTGTGGTGACCCCCAACCATAAAACTACTTTCATTGCTACTTCATAACTGTAATTTTGCTACTGTTATGAATTGTAATGTAAATATCTGTGTTTTCCAATGGTCTTAGGAGATCCCTGTGAAAGGGGTTGCGACCCACAGGTTGAGAACCGCTGTCAGGGGTTGCCTGAGACCATTGGAAAACACAGATATTTATATTACAATTCATAAAAGTAGCAAAATTACAGTTAGGAAGTAGCAACAAAAATAATTTTATGGTTGGGGTTCACCACAACATGAGGAACTGTATTAAAGGGTTGCAGCATTAGGAAGGTTGAGAACCACTGTTCTAATGTAATGCTGGATCTGATTTGCTAGAATATTGTTTAGGATTTTAGCATCTATGTTCATTAGGGATATTTATCTGTAATTCTCTTTCTTTGTAGTGTTTTTATCTGATTTTGTGATTAGGGTAATGCTGGCTTCATACAAAGAGTTTCGAAGTGTGCCTTTCTCTTGAATGTTTTTGGAATAGTCTGAGGAATATAGCTTTTAGTTGTTCTTTGAATGTTTGGGAAAAGACACCCTGTAAAGCCATTTGGTCCAGGGCTTTTGATTGCAGGAAGTTTTTTTATTACAGCTTCAATTTTCTCCATAGTTATCATCATATACAGGGTTTTTTTTATTCTTCCTCATTGAGTTTTGGAAAGTCATATTTTTCTAGGAATATGTCCATTTCTTCTAGGTTGCCTAGTTTGTTGGAATAGAGTTGTTTTTTCTTTCAAAGAACCAGCTCTTGATTTCACTGATTGTTTTTGTCTCTATGTCATTTATTTCTGCTTTGATCTTTATTATTTCTTTCCTACTGCTCCCTCTGGGCTTCCCTTATTGCTCTCTTTCCAATTCTTTAAGTTGTAGAGTTAGATAATTTATTACCAATTTTTCTTGATTTTTGAGGTAGGCCATATACTATGAATTTCACTCTCAGGACTGCTTTCATTGTATCCCATAGATTTGGGGTTGTTGTGTTTTCATTGTTATTTGTTTCCAGGATGTTTTTTTTTATTTCTTCTTTGATCTCTTTGGTAACCCAATAATTGTTCAATAGCATGCTATTTATCTTCTATGTGTTTGAATTTTTTATTCTTTTTATTTTAGTTGGTTTCTAATATTATGCTTTTGTGATCTGAAAAGACGCTTGATATTATTTCAATCTTCTTGAATTTTAAGAGACTTTTCCTGTGACCCAATATGTGGTCTATCTTTGAAAATGTTCCATGTACACTTGAGAAGAATGTATATTCTATAGATTTGGGGTGAAATGTTCTGAAGAAGTTAATTAAGTCTATCTGATATAGTGAGTTGTTTAGGATTGCTGTTTCTTTGTTGATTTTTCTGTCTAGATGATTTATTCAGTGATGTCAGTGGGGTATTAAAGTTCCCTACTTTGATTGCATTGCTGTTGACCTCTCCACTGATATTTTTTCACAAGTTTATTTATTTGGGTGTTCCTACTTTGGCTTCCTATATGTTTACCAGAGCTATTATTGATCTCTTTAATATTATGAAGTGTACTTCTTTGTATCTTGTTATGGTCTTTACTGTGAGGTCTATTTTGTAAAATATAAGTATTGCTACCCCAGCTTTTTTATTTTTATTTTTTAATTTCCATTTGCCTGAAAGATATTTTTTCCACCCTTTCCACTTTCAGTCATGTGAGCCATTTGTTTTGAGGTGGGTCTCTTGTATACCATATATACAATATATATCTATATCTATATATATATATATCTATATCTATATATCTAGATATCTAGATATCTAGATATCTAGATATCTAGATATCTATATATCTATATATCTATATATCTAGATATCTAGATATCTAGATATCTAGATATATAGATATAGATAGATATATAGATAGATAGATAGATTATGTTTTCTTATCTATCCAGCCACCCAATGTCTTTTGATAGGAGCATTATATCCACTTATGTTTAAGGTTAGTATTGATAGGTACTTGTTTGTAGCCATTTTTATTATTTGTGCCTGTGTTTCTTCCTCCCTTTCTATTTATTCTTTTTATAACAGTCCCTTTAGCAATTCTTGCATTGCTGGCTTGGTAGTGGTAAACTCTCAAAGCCCTTTTTAGTCTGTGGAGCTCCTAATTTCCCTTTCAATTTGGAATGTTAGCCTTGCTGGATAGAATATTCTTGGATTCAGTCCTTTGCTTTTCATCATTTTGTATACTTCATTCCATTCCTTTCTAGCTTTATGTGTTTGTGTTGAGAAATCATTTGATAATCTAATGGGAGATCCCTTGTAGGCTACTCTGTGTCTCTATTTCAGCCTTTAAGATTCTCTCTTTGTCCTTAACATTTGCCATTGTATTTACTATGTGTCTTGGTGTGGTTCTTTTGGGTTCATCTTGTTTGAGACTCTTTGTGCTTGTGTGACTTTTTTCTTCCCCAAATAATGGAAGTTTTCTGTCATTATTTCTTCAAATAGATTTTCTAGTCCTTGCTCCTCTTTTTTTCCTTCTATAACCCCTATTATACATATGTTACTTCATTTCATGTTGTTCCATTTTACTGTTTCATGTTGTCCCAAAGTTCCCTTAGGCTCTCCTCCTGATTTGTAATTTTTTTTCCCTTCAATTGCTCTTCAGATTGGGTGTGATTCTCTGCCCTGTCTTTTAACTCACTAATTCAGCCCTCTGCTTGTTCTAGTTTACTGTTGAAACATTCCATTGTGTTTTTTACTGTAGCTATATTATTTTTTATTTCCTCTTTATTCTTACATAAGTTGTTGATTTTCTTATCCATCCAGTTTATGAACTATATGACCCTTAATCTGAATTATTTTTCTGACATATTGCATGTTTCTATTTCCTTTAGTTTCTTTTCAGGCTATTCCTTCTTTTCTTTCTGTTGTAGGTTGTTTCTTTCTCTCCCCATTTTGCTATCACTGATGGTTCCAGGCACCAAGTTGCATGGGGACTGTGGCTGAAGCAGAGGGCTTGGCAAGAGGGTCATGCACCCTGAGAGTCACTGGAGGGCCCAGGCACTGGGATGTGCAGTGCCTGTGACTGAAGAAGTGGGTCTGCAGGAGGGTCGCATTTCCAGGCACAAAGATGCATGGGACCTGTGCCATCGCAGCAAATCAGGGGGAAGGTCATGCACTCCAGGACCCACAGGAGTCTGCGACTGGGAAGGCTGAAGTCACAGTATACATGGGCCTGCAATTGTGGTAGCAGGTGTTTGGCTGAAGTGGCTTTCAGGTACTGGGTTGTGTCTGTGGTCACTCTGGATGGTGGTGAGGCTGGGCTCCTAGTCACAGCAGCTTTCCCCTTCAAGATGGTGTGGTTTCTGTGTTAGTATCAGCCTCCCACAAGTGCTTACAATGGTAGCCAGTGCTCCCCTATCTAAGAGGGTCCAGTCTGCCAGCCCCCCAAGATTCTACAGGATCTAACTATCCTTCACTCACATACATACCACACACATCCACACACTCCCTTTTCACCCACTCACTCACTCACACTCTGTCCCTCACTGTTGTCCTGCAGGCCACCATCTTGACTCTCCCCAAAGCCACTTTATGATCTTTCCCCTTAAGTCAACTCATCTCAGTCTTAGTACAACCTAAGGTCCTACATAATATAATTATATAACTCATTATTCCATTTATGTTACAGACCCCATCCTCTTCTACTTCTTTATGATCCCTCTTCCTTGACTGTTCTCTCTTTCCTGAATCTGCAAACTCTTATGTTGCTTCCTTCTTTATCAGCATTTAAACATAGTCAAGCCTTTTCAGAGAGGGAAGGAGAGAAAAAGACAGGGAGGGACAGAAGGAGGTAGGCAGGAAGGGAGAGAGATATCCATCAGCTCATTGTCCCTCAGTCATCACTATTCTTCTCCTCTTCTTCATAGTACAGCTATTGGGAAGAGTAATATTTAATCACAGCTTCTAGTCCACTTCTTATCCACTCCTCAGTCTACTGCAGTCAGTATAATTCCATTCACTTCATTTCACTGAAATCGAAACTGTACTCAATAAAGTTATATATTACCTATTTGTTGCTAAATCCAGTGGGTACTTTCCAACCTTTATCTACTGTGAACCTTTGAACCCTTTGACTGGTGGCCACTCCATTCTAGAAACTCTGCTCCCTTGGCCTATGTGACATAACTATCTTCTTGATTCTCCCCATAACTCTATAGACAACTTTTATCAGTCTTCTTCAGGAGTTTTTCTTCTTAAATTTAGTATATATACATTGGTACTTTTTAGAACTCCGTCATTTGTGTTTTGATACTCTCACTTTTTGTTCTACATTTAGTAACCTCACTGTGATTTTTATCATCAATCACCATCTCTCTTTAAGTAAGCCTAAATCAATGTCCATCCCAGATGTCCACCTGCTAACTAAATATCTCTGCATGGAAATTTCAAGTATACTTCAAATTTGATATGAGTGAAGTCAAGTTTTCCTCCCTATCTGTCCTCCCCCCAATATACTGTATAATGTCTCATTAAGCTGCACTTTCATTCATTCATACTATCTAACCCATCCTCACATATAGTCAGTCACCAAGTCACTTCTACCTCCTAAATAATTTTTTAATATGTTCCTTTTTTCTTCCCTATCTCCACAGCTAGATTTCAGAGCCTCACCTTTAAAATCTAGATTAAAGTAACAATCTCTCAACTGATTTTGTCTCTTTCCCCTTATTATAATTATCTGTAAAACATAAAATTATGAACTTTTCCCCCCAAACACTACACACGTGCACATTCCATCGTGCACACAATGTCAAGAAATTCACTGACTCATGTACCTTGAAGCATGTAGAGACAAAGACATTGTTACTGTTGACAAAGAATGGGGGCAGTCCTCAAAAATGTTTTAATGGGGTTTCATTTGTTTTCATTTCCCAAAATTGCCCTTGTAATATACAAGAATAATACAGCAACTTTAAAAAGATGAACTGTTAATTAAGAAAAAAATAAACACTATAAATCTTTTCCACACAAAAAACATAAATCTTAATATGTTCTGATTAAAGTCCTTTGATGGCTCTCGATCACTTAGGATAAAGCCAAACTCCTTAGCAAAGCTGTATACTAAGTTCTTTCAAAACCTGGCACCTACCTACCTCTTCACTTTCATTAATTGCTACTCCTTCCTTCATACTCTAAGCATTAAACATGATGCATATCTCTGAAATTTTCCTTGCTTTTTGCTATCTCCAGACTTTCATAAAAAATTCTTCCACTACCTGAAATATATCCTACTTTCCTTTAATATAATAACTCACAATTCTCACCTATAGCTCAGGTCAGACTGTCACCTTCTCCTGTGTTTTACTTGACTTTTCAGTCTAAAACAGATAATATTTTGCCCTGCTCCTAAGGCATCCTTCTGCATATCTCTAGCATAGCACTTATATTGACTTATCTATCATCTATTTATCATCTATCTATTATCTATCTATCTATCTATCTATCCATCATCTATATATCTATCTATCATGCATGTATATGTCTAATTATATATGTTTGTCTCTCCAATATTACTGAAATCTTTGAGAGCAGAGATTTATTTTATTCATCTTTGTCTCCTCAGAGCCTGACATAGCTGCCTGGAACAGAGTTGAGGATCAAGAAATGTTTTATGAATGGATGCTTAACTGAATGAATGCTTTTTCTCCTTCTTTAATCTAATCTCCAAATATCT